GGGCATCCGGCTGCTGGACAGCGGCTCCGTGGAGAACGTGCTGCAAGTCGGTAGGTGCTCGCCGGGATGGTGTCTGGTCCCGGCCTCTTCCTCCGCAGGTGCCTGCTCCTCGCCCCATCCCCGGCCCGGGCCCGCGGCTTTCGCCCAACTTCTGCTCCCTCCCCGGGAACGGACGACCCGCATCCAAACTTTTCTCGGCATTTCGGGCAGGTCCGCCGCTGCTCTCGCCCCGCACCGGCCCGCCATCCCGGTTTCGTTTCCTTTGAAGAGCGAATAGGTCTCTTTTACTCTTCCATTCTACACCCATACCAGAGGCAGAAAGGATGGGGAGGAATGCCTTTTGGGATGTAATAATTTCTGGAATGCGTTTTTTTCTAATTTAAGTTTAGCGAGGAGGGAATTGTTAGTGAACCTGGAGCAAGTGATCTTAACAGGGACTGTTTGAGGGACAGGCTGTCAGAGGCAGGTCTGGAGTCTTAGCAGATTGAAGCTGGGTATAATTAACTTTAACATTGGGGGGAAAAATCAACAAAATACAGCGCATTTCAGGCAATTCAAATGTTCTTGCTTTAATATTTTTTCCTCCTGGACCAAATACTTGGGAGTCGAGGCTAAGGACTTAACAATAAGCGAAGATGGAAATGTGACAGCTTCGCTTCTCTGCACCCCCCACCCAAGGAGAAAAGCGCTGCACAATCCGGAGTGGGGGCGGGGTCCGTCTCCCTTGTCACATTGGGGTGAATCAAAAGCTGGTCACGTTGGGTTTTTCAGATGCGTCTCATTTAACAAGTCTCCCTATTTGCTTTTTGTTTGTGGGAAAATGAAAAATGATTTTTTTTGTTGCCTTTTTTACTCCTTCGGCGCTTCTAGTCAGTTTGTTAATCTTAATAAATATAAAAATACAGTAGTTCTGATTTCTGGAATGGTTAGGAAGAAAAGGGGAAAATGACATTGTTTAACATTGACTTGCTATGTGGAAAATTAAAGCACTGATTTTTTTTCTATTTGGATTATTAAAGCATTCTGGAAGTGTGCATTATCTTAATGCATTTTATTGTACGATATATGCTCATATTTATTGAAAAAATATTGATTTTTGAAAGGAGTTGGAGAGAGGTTGTTTTTAGAATTAAGCACAGGAACACACATAAACTCCAAACATCTAGATCTCTTCTGCACAGGTAAAATTAACATATTTGATTTTTCTTTTTTTTTTTTTTTGAAGAGTAGTACATTGTGGTGTTTCATATAAATTAATCTATTTCTGGTTATTGAGAATTACTGAATCCTGTGTTTCTTTTTAAAACAACAGTATTCCACAATTTGTTTTGCAAATGTGAAATGTAAATTTATCTAAATTTATCCTGTGTCTGAATACAGTGACAGTGGATTGAGGAAGTTTTATTTGAAAAAGACTAGTCCTTTGTATATTTGTGTGTATTTTTTCTTTTTTATTTTGTGTGTATTTTTGAAAGAATGAATTGAGTAATCAGATAATTAAGATGTATAGCTTTAACACTGAAATACTGAAAACATGAAAATGAATATAGGCATTTATTAGTCTGTAAATTTTTTTCTTAGATCAGTTAACTTTTAAGATACTTGTTTACAATATTTTAAATTGAAATGTGTCAATTTAAGTGGTCATTTTATAGTAAGAGATGGATTCGAAAGAATTTTCAAACTTGAGGGGACAACTGAGGTAGAAGAAAAGTTTTAAAGAGGTATATTTTGAAAGTGACTATAATGTTAAGTTCTAAATGAAATCAGATTTTGTGGATAATCCAGGTCATGTTTAAATCAGATATTTTTCTTTTATATGATAGCATGCTTATTAGGGGTAATGAGGTTTTGTATGAGAGTTTTGGGGACCAGAGAAAAGACACATAAGATTTTGGATTTCATAGACGAAGGCAGGTAGAAGAATGAATTAATCACTTTTAGGTATGTAATGCTATTTGAAAATCCTGAGCTATGTAATCTTTATTCTTCTGACCTTAATTTATGCTAATGAATGTGGAAGAAAAGGATATGCCATTCTGTATCCTTATGAGTTCTGTATCAGGCATGAACCATCTTTTAATATGTAAAATTAGGGACTCATCCCTCATCTTTTAAATTTAAAATGTATGTGACTTAATCTAGAAGGTAGATTTTATAAAAGTACTAGAGGCCCGGTGCACGAAATTCGTGTATGGGTGCAGTCCCTAGGCCTGGCCGGTGATGAACGCGTGAGCATCTGGTGTGGAAGAGCAGGTCCCAGCTGACCTCTGGGCCCTGGGCAGCATCTGGGCCCCTGGACCCCTGCACGCCCCCTCTGCCTGAGTCACGGTGCCCGAGTTCCCACGTGGAGAGGTGGTGAGCACAGTCGGATGCCGCGGGCCGGGACGTAGCATGGGCCTCTGGGCCACCCAGTGGTGCTACACGGAAGCCGAGTGGATAGCACCCTCTGTCCCGGCCAGCCTCGAAGACCGGCTCCTGCACAAACCCATAAGGAGCCCGACCGGCCCCTGCAGTCCCGGCTGCCGCCTGGCTCACTCAGAAGAGGCTGTGCAGGTGCTGGGTGGGCTCCTTGTGGGTGCTGGGCACCTGAGCGCGGGGGCTTCCGTGGCATGCAAGCCCTGGCGTCTTAGGGGCGGGTAGCAGGGGAAGTGAGAGCGAGCTTGGCAGACACCCCACATTCTCACTAAACCTCCATCCCCATCACCCCCGCCCCCAGATAGCCGGTGAGAGGTCGCAGCCCCTCGCCCGTGAGCTGCGGGAGGTAGGTCGCCACCACCCACCCCCAGTTCCCTGTCCCAGCCTGGGGCTCAGCCCTGATCCAGCGATCAGGGTCTGTCAGCCCGCTGGTTACCACCTGGGCCCTCAGGCCCCTGCATGCCCTGCTCCGTCTGAGTTATCGGGCCCCCGCCTGGCTCCATCAGCACCTGGGAGCTGGGTAGCGGCCCCGCCCCCCACTGCCACTGCTGGTCACCGTCTGCAGGGCTATCTGGCCCCACTCGCACTGCCACCTGCTGCCAGTGCTGCATCACCGACGCCCACCATGTTTTGTTTCGCCCCCTGGTGGTCAGTGCATGTCATAGTGAGCAGTTGAACTCCCAGTCTAGGGGACAATTTGCATATTAGGCTTTTATTATACAGGATAGGATTGCCAAAAGATGAGTGAGAAAGTAATTTGGAAAGCAGAATAGTTATCATGTTCTTCAGTTTATAACTTCACTTCAGACTCAATTTAATTACTAATGAGTGGTGCTAATTAAAAATTCTACATATTTCCTTACTATTTCCAAGCCATAGTTATAACCTCAGAATTGGGAAGTTAGTGAAGACCGATGCTTTAGGAAGGAAGGGAAGAAAGGGTATTTCTATAACAACATTTTTAAAAAGAAAAGATTCCTAAAGGGATTTAAATAAAGAAAACAGAAAGACCTTACAATAAAAACAAGTAAATCTTAAAAATAAAAAAAATGGCAAGCACAAAACAAAAATTTTGAAGGAAAATGAATTAGACAATAAAAACTTTTTCAACAAGGAGGTATATTAAATTCAGTAACTTGTGATTACTTAAAAAAATTTTTTTTTTTTTTCCAGAGAGGAAGGGAGAGGGAGAGAGATTGAAACATCAATGATGAGAGAGAATCATTGATCCACTGCCTCCTGCACGCCTCCTGCTGGGGATCAAGACCGCAACCCAGGCATGTGCCCTTGACCGGAATTGAACCCAGGACCCTTCAGCCAGCAGGCCATGCTGTATCAACTGAGCCAAACTGGCTAAGGCACTTGTGATTATTTTTCACATGGAATGTGGTAATGGGAATCATGGACTGACTGAAAAGCAAGTACTCTGTAGAAAACATCAGATTTTTGAATCAGAATGAAAACTTTCCCAGCTTGATGTAAACAGATGAGAGAACTATAGGTTGTTAAGCTCAAAGGATACATTTCTTTTACATAACAGTGTTGAATCAGAGGTATTATTCCTTTTGTTTTGTTTTTATTGTTCCTTTTAAAAGGGGACAATTGTAAATTAGTCTTTTCATAGACATCTGTAATTTTGAAGCTGTGCGAATAAACTTAGAGCAGTGGTTCTCAACCTTCTGGCCCTTTAAATATAGTTCCTCATGTTGTGACCCAACCATAAAATTATTTTTGTTGCTACTTCATAACTGTAATGGTGCTACTGTTATGAATCGTAATGTAAATATCTGATATGAAGGATGGTCTTAGGCGACCCCTGTGAAAGGGTCGTTCGACCGCCAAAGGGGTCGCGACCCACAAGTTGAGAACCACTGACTTAGAGTCTGATGATCTCTTTGTATTATGAAGGTAATAAAGTTCAGATGCTCTAAGCATCTGCATTTTTAAACTGTTTAAGAAGCCCATGGAAATAGCAATAGTATAAACGTTGGGAAAATATTAATTCAGAAGTCTGAAGATAGTATAAGAATGGGAAAACTATAATTTACTAATAATTTTAAAATGTGGACCCTTTTCCTGTCCATCATATTTTAAATTAATTTCCCTTTGTTTGCTAAAACTTAAAGGAGGTTTGTGTATTTTCAAAGAAATATATGCATTTTTCCTATTCATTCATGATTTTATTGGGAAGTCTGAAGAATTAATACATTCAGGAAAAGCCAGCCTGTTTTTATGTTGCTTAGATCTATCAACACCTGACAAACTGACATGACTGGCAAGCTTCATCAACATACATTGATGTAGCAATATAAAATCCTTCTCCATGTTATGGTTCCCTATGGTGAAAAAGTAATGTTGTTAATCTTTACTCTCACTCAGTATTATATTACTGGAGGCCCTGTACCCTCTCACAGTCAGGACCCCTTAGGGGATGTCATACTGCCAGTTTCCGCCTAATCCCTGCAGGCCAGGCCGAGGGACCCCACCGGTACACAAATCCATGCACCAGGCCTCTAGTATGCATATAAGATCTTTGGTTAATCTCTTCCTGCCTTTCCCCCCTCCCCTTCCCTCTGAGATTCATCAGTCTGTTCCATGTTTCATGCCTGTATGTTAAGCATCTGCCCCCTGG